TAAAAGTAACATTTTCGGTCTTACGAATTTAAATATTTAAATCGCCACCAAGTGATTATATACTTATTCATTTACAATGTATAAGTCTGTAACCTCGTTTAAATTATGTCTTATCAAATTATTATAAGGGGGTTTTCATGTTTTAATGCAATTTTTTGTAGAATGTTTAAATAATTGCTTATTAAAGATATTATTATTTCTGACAAACTTTCACATATATTTTTCTGTAAATTGCGCTAATTTCACTTAAATTAGGCAACACATCATACACTAAATTGTACCTAAAAGAGATAATTTTTAGAGTTTTGGTTTCAAATTTTACTGAAGAACAACTTGACCGTTACGAAATGTACAGGCGTTCTGCATTTCCTAAAGCCGCAATTAAACGTTTAATGCAAACAATAACAGGATGTTCTGTTTCTCAAAATGTTGTTATAGCTATGGCAGGTATTGCCAAAGTGTTTGTAGGAGAAGTCGTGGAAGAAGGTAAAATACTATTTAAATACAAATTTTATAATGTTTGAGAAAACTTTTTGCCATTTTTGTCTAAGATTGCTCTAAAATTTTATTTTTCTTGAAAAGATAACTTTTTTACAGCTTTAGATGTAATGGAAGAACAAAACGAGACAGGCCCATTGCAACCAAAACATTTGAGAGAAGCAATACGAAGATTACGTCTTCAAGGGGCCATTCCTAGTGGACGAGCATATTATAGGTCACATTTTCGGCTTTAACTATCATTTCGTCAATTTATAACTAAAATAGAGGTAGCAATAAACATTTTTCGTATTAAAGTAATAATTGTTTTTGTAGGTACATATTAAAAATTTAAAAGGTAATTGGATTATTAACGACTTGGGCGTGTGGGTTTCGTAATGTCAGTTTTCTTATCCACTTATCACAAAATTAAAAGTTGAGTTAGTAACAAAATATTGTAAATTTTCCAACATAAAAACTTAAATTACCTGTAGTTTTCATTAAATAACCANAGCAGTTTTTCGCTGAGGAATACACTAGCGATAAAATAGCTAAAACTACCATCTTTCAGCGACAAATCAGCTATGAAATATAGCTCTTATAGTATTTCTATTTCGGGTTACGTTACCGCAATTCTGTCGTTTTTCGCTGGACATCTGAAGGATAGGCTAACGATAAAATTGATAAAACTACCATCTTTCAGCGACAAATCAGCTAAAAATTATAGTCCTTACAATATTTCCCTACGACTTTTCTATTTTGAGACACGCTACATGTAGTGCCAGCTTGGCGGATCTCTAGCAGTTTTTCGCTGAGGAATACACTAGCAATAAAATAGGTAAAACTACCATCTTTCAGCGACAAATCAGCTATGAAATATAGCTCTTATAGTATTTCTATTTCGGGTTACGTTACCGCTATTCTGTCGTTTTTCGCTGGACATCTGAAGGATAGGCTAACGATAAAATTGATAAAACTACCATCTTTCAGCGACAAATTNTGTGAAGCTACCTTGGACTGAACCAATATTTATCGGTGGTACAAAATGTTCTCAGATAGCCGAGAAGATGTGAACAACGAATAATATGCCGGACGCCCGAGTACGTCAACAAGAGACGAAAACATTGATGAAGTGAAGAAAATAGTATTGGCCAATCGTCGAATCACAGTTAGAGAAGTGGCTGAGGAGCTAAACATATCGATTTGCTCCTGCCATTCAATTTTTACCAATGATTTGGACATAATACGGGTCGCCGCAAAATTCGTACCAAAATTGCTCAATTTCGACCAAAAACAGCATCGCATTAACATTGCTAAAGAGCTATTGGATTCTGTCCGCAACGACCCAAATTTGCTCCAGAGGGTCATAACTGGTGACGAATCATGGGTTTATGGTTATGACGTGGAAACCAAAGCTCAATCATTCATTTTACTTACAATTTTCTTCAATTGCAGGGGCGTGGAGCATCTTGGGTTCTTACCACAGGGTACAACGATCAATATTTATCAATTACCTGCAAGTTAATGCGCAATTTGCGAGAAGCAATCCGCCAGAAACGCCCGCATTTTTGAAAGAACAAAAATTGGCTTTTGAACCGTGATAACGCCCCTGCTCACACATCGTTGCTTGTGTGCTAATTTTTGGCCAAAAACAACACACAAATAATGCCGCAGCCACCGTATTCCCCAGATCTAGTCCCGTTTGACTTTTTCTTGTTTCCGGAAACTGAAGAGGCCCATGATAGGACGACGCTACGCTACGATTAAGGAGATAAAGATAGCATCGGAGGAGCAGCTGAACAAGATCACAAAAAACGATTTTTTGAAGTGCTTTGAGAATTGGAAAAAATGTTGGCACAAGTGTATAATATCTATTGGGGATTACGTTGAAGAGGACAAAATAGATACATAATTTTTGAAAAACACAAAATTCGCGATACCTTTCGAAGAGACCTCGTAAACAACGACGTAGGAGTCGCATACATACTCGCATCTACGTGTAGTACATACATCTACCTGAACGAATGTATGTGCGGACTCTACGTAAGCGCACAATATAAGGAAGTGAGTTTTTCCTTCCGTTGTTCTTATTCTTTTTCGGACAGAAATTGCAAACCGTTCGTCGGTGTTACGCAAGCACACGCGCGGCAAGACTTTCTCGTGCCGCATCCAATTCCGTCAGTCGCTCTTTACTTCTATAATTTGCTCTTTTGACGTCGACCACAATTCCGCACTTTCACAACTGCGGCTCTGCTATTATTAATTATTATCTCTATATCTTTGTAACTCATACGTACAAGTAGGCCGTTTCTTTTTTCGTTTTACTCGCGTTATTTGGCCACATCAGCGGAAAAATATTTACCTACCTATCCATTCGTCAGCGTGTCCACTAAAAACGAATTAATGAATAAATTCCCTATTGTGACAATTGAACCCATTCGAGTCGTAAACATAATAATTGAATAGGACCATGCATATTGGGAAAACAAAATTGAAAAACAATTAGAGCATTGTTAATTCGCGACGTTTCACCTTCATTTCATGAGACTTTATCAACCTTTTCCAAAACATTTGTAATTTTTTTTCAGAGCAGTCTCACGAAATAGAGACGACACGTTGCGAATCTTCAATGGTCTAATTGTTTTTCAATTTTATTTTCCAAATACCCATGATCATGTTCAATTATTGTATAAGNTCGTTCTTTTTTATAATTAATACTCCAATTACAAGAGCGTTGAACTTCACGTAAAAGCTATGCAACGCCAAAAAAACAATTAGTTGCCAATAAAGCAAAATGTTTTAGCAAAGTAATGGTTAACACTAAAAAAGTACTTAACTAAAAAGGTTTAGAGTTACGAAACGCAAGGTTTTTATAATCGGAAATAATAACAATTGTTAAATTAAAAATTAATGCACATGCATTTTTCACGATTTTTTATTATTCGCTTTACATTATGTTTCACCATTTGTGGCTATTTTAGAAGTAGTAGTAACTTCTCGAAAAAAAAGAGGAAACATAATATTTGCAAAGTTAATAATTAATAGAAATTCATGAAAATTAACCCAACTACTTTACTAAAGTCATAGAAATTCATCTTTTTGAGATATGATCCCTTTAATTTGCATTCTTCCGTACAGATCTCCAAGGTACAATTATATCTATTATATGTATTGAATATGTTCAGATATACATATACCTATGCATATGTTGATATTATGGATGTGTTATAGTTTCAAACCAAGGATTTAGGTAATGCACTCTGCAAAAATGTACTCAGATAGAGTTATAATATGATAGCGATGGTTTTGACTAAACGACAGCCGACGAAATATTAAGCGGTATGGAAGAACGTCATAGTTAAAATAATAATAATATATAAAACAGTAACGAAACGTCACTACTTTTTCCATAGAAATAAGATATTTTTGTTTGTTTCTGAGAAATATTTTATTGTTGGCATAATAGCTTTTTATCTTATCGCTCGTCTTTTCATAGCCAACCGTCTTTCAAATGATACCCCACTCGATTATATTAATTTGAGATAGCAGTTGCTAGTTGTCATTTCGCCCGCAGTATATGTGATAAGATGAAAAATCGAACGACATACGTCGTTCACAGAATTTTATTATCCTTCGAATGACACCTCAGTCGACATTATTTGAAATTTTTGTTTTTGTTTTTCAGACCTTTAGAATCCGTTCTTGGCGCGCCCCGGTGTAAGTCACAACACGCTGTCAATATTATATTAAAATCGACCCAATATCTTAGCTGTGTACTGATCATTTATTGTTAAGTAATCATTTATTGTTAAGTACATCTTCTGCTTAGTCCTCCTTACCTTTAATCAATTACTGGAGAGCTACATCAACGCATTTGAGATCAGAGTGTAATAAGATGATACAATAAACAACGAGGAGGTATAATTCATTTACTTTCTCTAGCGATATGCCCCTTCCAATGTCTTGGATGCGCGCTGGCAAAATCGTAGGTAGGGAGAAAAAAGTTCATTATATTCCCGACTTTTCATACAGTACCTGCCAAAATTTTTGTTCAATCATGAATAATAGTGCGAATTGAAAACAAGCGTTAAAGCCTTTAATATGTCTTCAAATATAAATAAACATCTCGTTAATATTTTCAGTAGTAAATGGTACCAATAACAGCACTTTTGAGCAATGCAATTGTAGTGGATAATATGGTCAATTTTTCAGTGCAGTACTGTACGGATTATACGCTCCTCACCGGTTAAGAGTTTGGCCGAGAGTTGTCTCCTTCCTTTTCTGGCCTAGTGCTGTTCTTTTCTACTTTGCGCCGGTCGAACTGAAGGTCACATCGCTACAGAAAGTAAACGAAGTATACT